CCCCGCCGAATTGCACCACTGGTCAATCCGCAGAGGGGGAAAGGCGGCGGCGGCAGGGGACAGGGCCAGCTGGCGAGTGGGCGGGGGCCGGCCGGCAAGCAGGTTGGCACCGCCCCCCCGATTGCCCCACCTGTGGGGGGAGACCTGTGGCAGCAGCAGGACGATCAGGGGGTGGGGCCAGCCGGCAAGCAGGCTGGCACTGCCCTCCGATCGCCCTGCCCGTCACCTCTAAGGCAGGTGCTAGCGGCGGCCCGCCCCGATCGCCCCGCCAGTCACCCCACAGATCGGCCCTGATTGCTGGCCAGGCCTAGGGACCCTACCTATGCATGAATTTCGTGCACCGGGCCTCTAGTACAGTATAAATTCCTTGAAGACAAGGATGCCGCTCCGCCCCCTCCCCCCACAAACACACACACCGCCAGTTAACATGGAGCACACAGAAGAGAGCAAACACTTGCTAAGTGTTGTTTAATAAGTATCACAGAATGAAAGCTTCATCTGCACCCAAACCCACTAGCTGATATGGTGTGCATTCATTCTCTACAGATTTATGAAAAAAATTCCTTGTTTTAAGAAAGGCTGCCAGACACAAATACACAGGTCCTGATGTGCAGGAATGTAACTCTTGTTTATATCAATTAGCCTGTGGTAAAACTGGTTTCATTATAAGTTGTTTTGCTTAAAGTCACAGAACCTGTCGATGCTATTAAGTGAGGACTCACTGGACTAATAAGAAAGAATTCACCAGGCCAGCATGGCTCAGTGGTTGAGCGTCAACCTATGAACCAGGAAGTCATGGTTCCACTCCCAGTCAGGGCTCATGCCTGACTTGCGGGCTCAATCCCCAGTGGGGGACCGTGCAGGAGGCAGCCAATCGATGATTTTCTCTCATCACTGATGTTTCTATCTCTCTCTCTCCCTCTCCCTTCCTCTCCAAAATCAATAAAAATATTTTTTTAAAAAGAAAAGAAATTCCATCATACAATCTGTTTATGTTTACTTAATCTGTGCTTGAAATTATATTCCCAATTTCTGTGTGTAGCTAATTTTATACATTACAACTTATCAACTAGCCTGACCCTTTTTTTCTATGAGAAATTTTTTTCTAATAATAAAAAAAAATTAACTGTTTGGTATTATAGAACAAGCCTAATCTCCTTAAATTATTTTTATTATCTATCAATTATGAACCATATTGGTACATCTTGTTCCTATCTTTAATATTCTTTTTTTATTATATTTTAAGCACTAGAAAACATTTTAAAGAAATGATGAAGATTGTTTTGGCAATTTTTCATTTGAGGGGAAAACCTGAATATTTACTTTTACTATACATTTAATTATAATTGGAATTATTTACTTCTCCATGATATTGTTGCGTTGAGGGAAAACACTGGTTTAAATTACAGTACCAAAATATTAAGGAAAGTGATTTTGCTCTTCTCTGTTTACAAACGTGAGATGTGGACATTCTGGAGCGGGTGCCTGGAGTGCAGCCTGGACTGCTGCCTGTAGTTCTGATGGGTTCCTTGTATGTTCTAAGGCCACCTGTTACAAATTTTACAAGTCTCTGCTTGTCTAAATTATATTAAATAAATCACCCAGTATTTTCCTGCTTCATGAATTCAATTTAGGCTCATTTATGAAATCTATTTCCTTCTTGCTTCTTATTGATAAACCAGTTGTGTGTTAATATTAAACACTTCTGGAAAGGAAACTAAAAACTGAGCTTAAAAACCCACTAAATAGAAACTAAATTTGAAAGAAGTGAATTATTTTCCTGACTTTACATAGTGAAACATGAAAACAGTCCATAAAAAAGGTTTCCAAATGGAAATGATCTTAAAAATCCATTTGCTTTCTTTTTTTCCTCCTCTTTTAATCCTCACCTAAGGATATATTTTTATTGATTTTCAGAGAGAGAGGAATGGGGGGAGAGAGAAACCTTGATGTGAGAGAGAAACATTGATCGGTTGCTTCCTGTACTGTCCTGATCAGGGATCAAACCAGCAATCGAACCCCCAACCTTTTGGTGTACAGGACAGGACAACGCTCCAACCAACTGAGCCAACCGGCCAGGGCAGAATATCCACTTACTTTATTTCAATGCACACCCCACATTTACCCCAAGGAAGAGCACACAGAGACACAGAGACACCTGACACATTTGACATACTCAGGAGCCCAACTAATAAATCCAATCATTGGCTTAAAGTTACTGGTTGTTTCGATTCTGGCAAGCTAGAAGTTTATAGAATAACTAGAGGCCCTGTGCACAAAAATTTGTGCACTCGGGGGTCCCTCAGCCCAGCCTGTGCCCTCTCGCAGTCTGGGACCCCTCGGGGGATGTCCACCTGCTGGCTTAGGCCTGCTCCCCAGGGGATTGTGCCTAAGCTAGCAGTGATACATCCCTTGGGGGATGTCCACTTGCTAGCGGGCCGAAGCTGCAGTTGAACATCCACAGAGCTGCTGAGGAGGCAGGAGAGGCTCCCACCATCGCCGCTGTGATGCCGTCAGCCTGGCTTGTGGCTGAGCAGAGCTCCCCCTGTGGGAGTGCACTGACTGCCAGGGGGCAGCTCCTGCATTGAGCATCTGCCCCCTGGTGGTCAGTGTGTGTCATAGTGACCAGTCATTCCCAGTCGTTCTGCTGTTAGGGTCAATCTGCACATTACCGCCCTAACGGGTTTGGCTCAGTGGATAGAGCGTCGGCCTGCGGACTGAAGGGTCCCAGGTTCGATTCTCGTCAAGGGCATGTACTCTGGTTGTGTACACATCCCCAGTAGGGGGTGTGCAGGAGGCAGCTGATTGAAGTTTCCTTCTCATCGATGTTTCTAACTCTCTATCCCTCTCCCTTCCTCTCTGTAAAAAATCAATAAAATATATTTGGAAAAAAAAATTGCATGTGCACATTACCCTTTTATTATATAGGATAGAAGCCTGGTGCACGGGTGGGAGCCAGCTGGTTTGCCCTGAAGGGTGTCCCGGATCAGGGTGGGCAGGGAACCCCCAGCTCCCTACTACGATCGCCCACGCCGCCCCTGCTCACGATCGCTGGCTCTGCCCATGCTCAGGCCTAACACCTCTGGCCAAGGCATTAGGCCTGGGCAAGGGACCCCCAGCACCCCACTATTGCCAACTCGGCCCCTGTTCCCTGCGATTGACGGCTCCGCCCTAATGCCTCTCACCCAGGCATTAGGCCTGGGCAGGGGACCCACAGCTCTCCAAGGGACCTCCTGCTCCACCCCTTCCCAGGCCTAACGCCTGTGGCCGAGGCATTAGGCCTGGGCAGGGGACCCTCCCAGCTGCAGACGCCCCGTGATCACTGGCACCGCCCCTGCCCAGGCCTAACGCCTCTAGCTGAGGCGTTAGGCCCGGGCTGCAGGGACCCCCAGCTGCAGCCGCCCCTGCCCAGATGCAGCCGCCTCCCGATCATGGGCTCCGCCCCTGCCCGGGCCTTACGCCTCTGGCCAAGGTGTTAGGCCCGGGCAGTGGGGACCCCCAGCTGCAGCCGCCCCTGCCTGGCTGCAGCCACCCCCCTATCGTGGGCTCTGCCCCTGCCCAGCTCCCATCGCTGGCTCCACCCCTACTTCCCGCTATCACTGGCCAGTGCGGCAAAGGCGCAGGATTCTCCGATCATGGCTGTACAGGACCCCCAGGGCCGCCTTTGCCCTGCCCCCCACTCTTAGCTCCCCCCGGGTTTCCGATCACTGTCAGTGCCAGGGGGCTTCTTCCGTGCTTTCCCTTTTGCCTCCCTGCATTGTGCCTACATATGCAAATTAACCGCCATCTTTGTTGGCAGTTAACCGCCATCTTGGCTGGTGATTAATTTGCATATCTCGCTAATTAGCCAATGAAAAGGGTAGCGGTCGTACGCTAATTACCATGTTTCTCTTTTATTAGTGTAGATGGCCCTTTTGGAAAAAAAATTTATATTGCACTAGAAAAAAAATATTTATAGAACTGGAATAACAACCGTATAAATGGGTTTTTGCTTATCCACAGGCCAACAAAACTAATATTCCTTTTAAGTTCTTTCCTAGTGCCCCCAATGTTCAAGGAGGGGCACTGAGTTGGTCATGATGTAAATGATGACATGGCTAATTACAGAATCACAGATTCTCACAGAATCTGAGCTGCAAGAAAATTTTAAACAATGTAATCTCATCCTAATGCCTTCTCTACCACATTCCACCCTGAGATAATGGCAGAACCACTCCCAAAAATCCTTCAGAAAGGGGGGAAGTTTTTCTATTTTTAGAACATGGAAGAGGGTTCCTAAAACAACAGATCAATTAGCTTGATGTCAGTCCTCAAGAAAACCCTACAAAAATTTATACATAAACAAATTTGGAGAACTCAGAAAAGAAACAGTAATTCTAGGAACAAGAACAGGTACAATATGAAAAAATAATGCCAAACTAACATCATTTTTCTTGATAGACCTACTTGCCTGGTAGATCAAGACAATATTGTAGTTTTAATGTACTTGACATCTGAAAATTTCCCATGAAACCATTTTAGAACAAACAAAAACAAAGATGCATCTGGGTTCCCCTAGAATCATACCATGAGATAAAGACTCAAGTTAAAGGCTGTTTACACAATAAGATGAACTTGGAAACACTGCAGGGAAATGGGGAAGGCCAGAAAGAGAAGGAAACCCACAAGGTGTGTATTATCCAGCAAGTTATCACTGTGGGCAAGTGGAGCCTGCCCCTCCCCACTGCCCATCCGTCCCCGTACTTCAGCCTAGACCTATCGCCATGCCCCTGAAAAGCTCGCAGTCCCAGGGGCTGGCAGCTGGACATCAGGCCAGCACAAACAGAAATAAGTGCCAAGACAGGGCAAGGCAACAAGGTGTTCATGGCTAATAAAAAGCCAAAAAGTATCTGAAAAATAAAAATTTAAGGTGTTCCAATATTGTAGTACTCATCATTTTGTTCAGGTATATTATTTCTTTGAAAAGGGATTTTTTAATCAAAATACTTTGTTTTCAGTTGTTTCTTTAGAAACATATTAGCATATTCTTTTGCTTTAAATTAATTCATTTGAAAACATATTTTCAATTGTTTTTATTTGCAGAATGTTTCATATGTTTTCTAAAATTAATTTTTACTAAGCTTCCTGTAGGAACCCTGTCCCGAGACAACCGGATGTTTAAGGCCACTCTGAGCGTGGGAATCCTAATCAGGGTGTTCAAGGCTAACTTACTATAAGCAGGTGCAAAAGGACGCAGCAAGCTATACACTACGCAGGCGTGCCTGCCTGTAGCCCAAATACTGAGGTCACTATTTGGCATAAAGCCTCTTTTGTTTGAGCTTATTTAAGCTGTATATAAGTTGCTCTGACCAGCCAGTACGGGGCTGTGTTATAGGGAAGATGTATTACTGACCAGTAGGTGTGTGGCTGCTTGGTCAGGCTACTTTGTTAGCAATGGCTCCTGTGTTTGCTACTATATTAGCAAGGGTTACTGGGTCTACAATAAAGTCTCTTATACGCCTATGACTGCTCATATCTTTTCCATCCGGTACCTGACATCCAAGGAGGTCCAGTCCCTGGCCTAGGGACTCGGACCCAACACCTCCCCTGTCACTCCATTCCCACTGGGACTTCTATCACTGGAGCACAGAAGTCTTTTCCATATTAGGGCCTCCCACTGCTCACAAACTGCTTTCTCTACCAAGAATGTTCTTTCTCTCAAACTCTTTGCAGGGTTGTCTTTTTCTACCTCAATTTTCAGTAATTAAACATTAGCACCTCAGTCAGGTCTTCCTTAGTACTATCTAAATAGAATACCTACTGCCCTTGCCTTTATTCTTTGTCACAATATTTTATGCATACCCTTCAAAGAACTTAATATATTTAAACAGTTCATTTATTAACTGTCTGCTTCTCTTACTGTAAGTCTATAAATTCCATAAGGGGCTGTAATTCCTAACTCATAGCATTATGCCTGGCAAATTCAACAAGTATTTTCTGAGGGGGTAAACAAACAAACAAAAAAGGTACAAATTAACCGGTAAACTACATTGTCCCTGAAAATTTTAAGGTCTCAAGATCTTGAGATCTCTTCATAGGACCTGAAAGAAACCTCAGAGATCATCAAATCAAATCCAAATTTTACAGAAGTTTCAAAAGGGGTTCCCCAGAACACAGAGCTCCTCAGGGCCACAGCAAGCCCTTAAGATCATGTACCACTCCCAAATGTAAACATGATCTAATCATGTCTTAACCACCATGAAAATAATCCTGTAAGTTTTAACTAAACTCACTACCAAAGCTCTACTGCCTCTTTAGTAAGTATAGAGCATGAGAAAAGATAATTTATCAATAAAGTACACAGAGTAAAAATAAAATATAAATAAGCAGCAAATGTTTAAATAATATATATATATGTATATATATATATATATTTCCTCCTTTAATAGATTCTCATTCTATTATTCTCACAGTAGTACCTTTTAATATTTTTGACAATGGAAAAATCCATTTTAATTAAATTTACAAATTTGTGCTCTATCATTCCTCTAACATACCATATCTGCATCAATCCCTGAATAAAAACACAACAGTCCTAAAACAATCTCTGAAATGAATACACTACTTTCCAAAACAAGAACAACTTAAAGTGAAACTTTCCATTTACCTCGTTATTGGTGTAATGGAGCTCCATGGACTGTCCAAAGGCAGTTTTAGCTTTCGACCTCAGATGTTCCAGTCTAACTGGTCTGGGGAACTGAAGGATTCTGTGTAAATGGAATTTTAAAACATCTTATTTTCTGAGGAAGAGTTAGCATGCCTCAACAGTTACCTTTCGGATAAACTGAAATTAAGTAAAGATATAAACGCCCACTGTACATGAGCACCACAATGGCTTGTTTTGGATCAAGTGCACTAATTCTCAACACAAAGTTCAAAAACTCTGAAGTCTGTTCTATTCTAATACAAATTACAAACAGGAAATCCTCACAAAGCTCTGCAGTTTGTAATTTGCACTGAGACTGTTATATGAGTATTAAAGGGAAATGTAAAATGTTCGCTGAAGAAAATAATTAAACTTAACTATGTGATATCCATACTATGAAATGGAAGAAAACTGTTAAAAAGAATAAAGTCATTCTTTGGGGGTTCAAATTTTGATTTCTCGTACCCTTATCAATTCAACATTTAAATATAAATATTTTTAAGGAATTAAAAAAAATTAATTCTAGTATTTCTTCCTATGTCGCAATGGATTAGCCTGTGCTGCTCCCGGGAACATGCGTCTAAGCCTGGAAACCACTCTACTAGCCTGTAAGCTCTGTCAGGCAGGGACCATCTGCTCACTGACTGGTCCCTCAGGGCCCAGCAGACAACAAGCACTCAATAAATAGTGCCCCACGAAGGAAAAAAACACACTGAAAATACCCATAAAAGAACTGTAAGTAGAAAAAGCAGAATGGACGACACTTATAGAGCATATCTAGCATATCGCATTTTTAAAAACCATATCTCTGTGTAAAGCATTTTACATCTCAGGTTATATGATTTATGAGCCTTTTTAAAGTCTTTAAAATGAATAGATCTTTCATTAAATTAATGAGACACGAATAACAAACATGAAATCCCATATTCTCCAACTCCAAATAGTCTTGTTAATAATTCTGTTGTTAACCATCACCACCCACCTCTGCTACTGTAAGAAGATACAGACCCGGAAGAAGACTAGGCTTACCCCACTCCTAAATAATTCACAGCCACCATTCCAACTCATTTCCCTCAATGTTACTATTTAAGTACATGTCGTATGTTGAGAATAATCAAAATTGTGAATGTTGCCAGCTGGTGTGGCTCAGTGGTTGAGTGTCGACCTATGAACCAAGAGGTCACGGTTCGATTCCCAGTTTGGGCACATGATCGGGTTGCAGGCTAGATCTCCAGGGTGGGGTGTGCAGGAGGCAGGCGATCAATGGTACTCTCTCATCATTGATGTTTCTCTCTCTCTCTCTCTGTCCCTCTCCCTTTCTCTCTGAAATCAATAAAAAAAATATATATTTTTTAAATTGTGAATGTTAAGTCCACATACATAATTCTGTAGAGTATAATATGATAAGGAGATTTATAAGGAGATAATATGATTATGGTAAGTAAAAATAAAAGAAAATGGTAATATTCAAAGGCTGCATTATGTAATGATCTTAACATCCGAATATTGCAAAGTAAAAACATTTATCTTTCTAATGTTTAGCCTGAATTTTGATAGTTTCTATCTTAAGTTTAAATACATGTTACACGTTATCAAGGACTATTCCATTCTCAATTTGTAAGCCACGAGCCTTCATTAAAATATAGGAAGAACCTTTAATGGCTTTAACTAGAACACGCATTTAATTAAGTTGATAATCTGAATTGTAATGTTTCTTTCCTTACCTTTTTTCTCCTCTATGTTCAAATTTGACTCGGACATCATTCTGTAATGAAATGATAAATCATTTCAGAAATCAAATAAAACTTTTTTTTCCCTTAGTCATGCATTTAAAACAGAGCAGAGGGGCCCTAGCTGGTTTGGCTCAGTGGATAGAGCATTGGCCTGCAGACTAAAGGGCCCCAGGTTCGATTCTGGTCAAGGGCATGTACCTCGTTTGCAGGCTCAATCCCCAGGAGGGGCCATGCAGGAGGCAGTCAATCGATGATGTTCCTTTCTCATAAATGTTTCTATCCCTCTATCCCACGCCCTTCCTCTACTGTCTAAAAATCTAATAATAATAATAATAATAATAAAAACCAGAGCTGACGGGGAAGGTTTCATTTCAGTATCAACTCCAATAAATTGATAGGGTCTGCCAAAAAGCCAGGTTGAGAATTATGTTGCTGAATTTGGGGTCAAGAGGGAAGATCAACAGGATCTGTTAATGTGGCATCATGGGCATGAGACACTTGCTAATCCTGTTAGAGGGAAATTTAGCATACTGTATTTCTATTTTTTAGGGCAACATCCCAAACAAATTTTATCTATAAGAATCAAAATGGCCCTGGCTGGTGTTGCTAAATGGTTAGAGCCTTGGCCCCAGCACCGAAGGGTTTTGGATTCGATTCCTGGTCAAGGGCACATAGCTGGGTTGTGGGTTCAATCCCCACCCCCTGGTCAGGGCACATGCGAAAGGCAACTGGGGATGTGTCTCTCTCACATCAATCTCTCTCTCTCCCGCTCCTTTCTCCCTCCCTTCCACTCTCTGAAAAGCAATGAAAAAAATATTCTCTGTTGAGAATTAACAAAAAGAATCAAAATGATCCTCATTTGTAAATATACAGAATAGATGACTTTAAATTAAAAAAATTGCTTATCTTATGTGCTTTAAGAATGGATGAAACAACTTCAGAGAGCAGTTACCACATTAAATGTAATTCTATCATTTTTTAAACACACACTTATAAAAAATGTTTAACAAAATATTTGATTCAAAAGTATAAAAGCTAAATACTTTAAGCAAAACCTCTATAAGATCAAGATATTCAAGAAAAATAATTCACAGAACAATATAAATTTATTAAAATATTATTGAAACAAATACCTGTTTTTTTGGTGATAAAGATTTTGTTTTTCTGTTTTCTTGTAAGGATAATGCTGGTCGACTGGCCTTATGAAGAACAGCCAAATCTTGCATGATTGAGTTCAAAGCTTGCTGATCATCTAGGTATTTTTAAAATAACATAGTCAGACTTGTAATTTCAATATGTATTTACTACTGACATCAAACACAAAATTTATAATAAAATTTAATGCAAAAATCTAGAACATTTTCAATGCCTATGCTTGTTATTTTGGTGAAATAAAATTTCCATTTAGAAACTGAAGAGCAGTAATGTTAGAATAGCACTGGACATGAGCACTAGCATCATACTGGGTGTCCATACATGAGATTTTTACAGGCAAAATAAAGTCATTCTGATTCTTCTAATGATGTAACATCCTAGAATATGGGTCGAAACAGCTTTATTATGACAAGTTCTTTTCTATGACCCCTAAACAAAACATCACAAGACATCTAAAATCTTAAATAAAACAAGTGGCGGGGGGGGGGGGGGGGGGAGAGGATAACTTTCTATAAATACCATCATTACTTAGCATTTCTGTTCAAAGTACAGAATTCCTTTTAGAGTTTTTCTCTTTCATCAGACTTCAAGTCAGAAACAACAAAAGCTTTGCCTACTGATTTTATGACGTGTTTTCTTGAACTTCTTCTCCATAAGGTTCAATAAGACTACAAACATTTAAAGACTCTTTAATGATCTCAACCTGGAATAATTCAAAAGGTAACAATACAAGAAAAATCCATTCCCAAGGGAAAAAAACACTAAACCCATAAAACTGAGTGAAAGAATCATGAACCATAAATTTTTAATTTTTTTCCAAACAGATCAAAGATTTCTTCATAAGACTATGAGCATGAGCCTCCTAGTAATGCCAATTATATACTCTGGAAAACTTCAGGGACAATATAATTGATTTTCACTAGTAAATCAATTCCACTAATAATAACCAACAATTGGTTAAAAAAAAAAAGTAATTGAGAGACTTTACAGCTTACATTTTAAAATGTAACCATTTTGGCCCGGCCAGTGTGGCTCAGTGGTTGAGCGTTGACCTGTGAACCAGGAGGTCACAGTTGGATTCCCAGTCAGGGCACATGCCTGGGTTGCGGGCTCAATTCCTATTAGGGAGCATGCAAGAGGCAGCCAATCTATGATTCTCTTTCATCATTGATGTTTCTATCTCTCCCTTTCTCTCTGAAATCAATACAAATATATTTTTTAAAAAGTAACCATTTTGGTGAGTAATAATTTATGTTCCAAAATAGTAATAATAAAACATGCTTTATCTTGTAATGAAAAATCGTTTAAATGAATGTGCTAATTCAATGGCTTCATCGTCTTTCAAACACACAAATACCTGACTTCTCTAATGCGTTAATTTTTGTAACATTCAATATATTGTTTTGTAGTGAAAATATTTGCACATTAAAATGAAAATTAATGGCTCCAAGGGTTTTATTAATAAATTCCAGGTTTAGAGAAAATTTTATAAGTAACCTTTGTAAAATAAAATCTCATCAAAATGTTAGCTTAGCCCAAGAGTAACTGAGCCCATGGGTATAATATAATCACAACATGTGTACTGTCCATAGGTCCAAGTCAGACTATGTCATTTATTGATAAAAATAAATCTTTCCTTAGAAAAATATTAGCTGAGAATGATCTCAACTGAAATGAAATTATATGATATAAGCTTCTTGAGAAAGGTAAGATCCTTAATTCTGTACTGGGTGAGGGGAATTCTAATACTTAAACATATCTATGTTTTAATTACTTTCTTCATTAAAAAAAACTTAAACACTTGAATTTAGGTATTTTTACATGTTTCATATCATAATACCAAAATAAACAAGTGACTGGGGAGGCTTTGGCTTAAATCTCTTATCACACTTACATACACTAATTTCCTGGTTTTGTTTTTTAAAAAGTACTGTTTTCTATCATACGTGTACAAAAATAAAGAGGGCTATTTGAATATAAGTAACTTCTTAGAGCAGTGGTTCTCAACCTTCCTAATGCCGTGACCCTTTAATACAGTTCCTCATGTTGTGGTGACCCCAAACCATAATATTATTTTCGTTGCTAATTCATAACTGTAATTTTGCTACTGTTATGAATTGTAATGTAAATATCTGATATGCAGGATGTATTTTCATTGTTACAAATTGAACATAATTAAAGCATAGTGATTAACCACAAAAACAATCTGTAATTATATATGTGTTTTGCGATGGTCTTAGGCGACCCCTGTGAAAGGGTCGTTCCAACCCCAAAGGGGTTGCGACCCAGAGGTTGAGAAACGCTGTCTTAGAGAGATGACATACTAATAAAGAGCAACTTAATTGAGTTCCTTCTTTTTCTGGCTTGAAGAAGTATCACATGGTAGATAAATACCTGATAGGCAACTTACTTTGAGGAAGCTGACAAGATGTAAGCTAACAAATCCACAAAGGATCAAGCAAAGTGTGAGCAGAAATACACCACGAGCACTTTTCTAACAATTCTTAGACTGTTTTCCTCAAGAACCTCTGTGGTGGTGATCAGTACTAGACAGATTAAGACAGGCTGTAACTATCATAAAGATCATGAGTTGATCAATAGGCAGTAAGGATAGCCAGAGGGCCCCACGGTTGACCGACAGTCACACAGACGAAGCAGTGTGTTTCTGACACATGTTGAAAGGACATTTAGTTGAGCACAAAACCAGAATATATTTGGGAAATCATTTCAAGTAAAATATTTTATTAGGCATGTTTAATTAGATACCTTATATGCTTATTCATTATATTTAAAATAATTATAGGAGAATATCCTCAATAAAAAATTCAAATATCTGTGAATCATACTTTAAAATATTCATGTTTTTCTATGACTACTTTGGTATATGTTCTTAAGCAATGGCTGTTCTTTGTTTTGTTGTTTTCTATAGTACAGTATTATTTGAGAAGGTAGAAATCAATTTGATTAACACACAGCCCAGATTGCAAGTATGACCAACCAAAATGAAAAGTTAATAGGAGTTCAGAAAAAGGATATCCAATTTAAAGCTGACAAAACTGGAGAATTTGGACCACACGATGGCACTGCACTCATGGTTACAGAGAGAAACCTCCATATTGTTTTCCATAGTGGCTACAAGTTTATCATGAATACAGAAACAAAAAAAATTTCTCCCCTATTTTAGCCTTCAGTTGTAGACAAAAAATTCTTTAGTTTGAACTTACCCATCATGACAACCAGCTCAACAATCTGAAAATTAGGGAAATGGTTCTCCCATCAGAATTCTTTATTGCCTTAGGAGGTAAAAGACAAACATTAATAATAAGAAACAGAAGAGGCAGACACACATACACAAAAATACCAGTATTAAAACCACTAATGAGAAACATACAATATTAATACTTTATACATTTTGCTGAGAACAAGGTTTTTTATTTTTCCTAGACACTCAATTATTGAGAACAAAAAATCATTATTATTTTAAATTAAGTTTAACTCAGTGTTTTTCAGGCTCCTGGCTTTTTAAGCTAAAAACAAAACCCAGAGTTTTTGAGAATCAAAAATTATCTTAAAGAGATAATCTAATAAACTCAAATTCCTACAGGACAATGGCAGGCATGAAGATGAGTAAAATGGGTCATGCTTAGAGACGAAGAGAACCAAAAAGCGAGGACATCCACAAACACAGTAAAGACCTACAAAAATTCTCTCTTGTGTAAAAGAAAACATTGTCAGGATGTTTCAGAACTCTGAAATTAACCAAAGGCTTGCAGCAATCTAGGCAGCAATCAAGTATCTTAATAAAAAGAGAGAGAAGGCGCTGGCTGGATAGCTCAGTGTGTTGGAGCATCGTTCTGAGGCATCAAGGTTGAGGGTTTGGTCCCTGGTCAGGACACATACAAGAAACAATCAGTGAACAAATAAATAAATGGAACAACAAATCTCTCTCTTCTCTCTCTCTCTCTCTCTCTCTCTCTCTCTCTCTCTCTCTCCCTCCCTCCCTCCCTCCCTCCCTCCCTCCTTCAGAGCGAACATGCAAGAGACCACCTTGTGGTGTTCTGACCCTCCCTACTCCTATCTCCCTGCCCTCTACTCCAGCGCCAAAGTAGCAATGTACACCGGCAGCCCTCAGTCCGCCTGTAAGCCACAGGAGAGGACAGAATGGGGAGGAGTGCCTTCAAAGTCCGATTCTCCCCCAACTGTCATTATGTGACCTCTCTAGTGGTTGGATGGTGAGCACCACTTGAAAGGCTGTCTATTTAACCTGACTCAGAGCTCTTTCAATGCAAAAAGCTTAGGGTGTGTTCAATTAGGCAATTAGTGCAATATTTTAACTGTCTGAGAAAGGGGAAAACAGTTGTGGGCAAATGAATAGTTAAGAAAAATAAAGTTCTTTAAAAGAAAAGCTAAGGAACAAATTGGACAGCATGGTTCCATATACAGGAAAAAAAGACATCAACAGAAAATGACCCTTAGGAAACCTAAGTTAGATTAGACTAACAAAACAAAGACATTAAATCAACTATTTTAAATATGTTCAAAGAACTAAGGAAGCCATGTCTAAGGAGCTAAGGATGTCTGAGAATGATTTCTCAGCAAACAGAATATCAACAAAGAAACAAAAATTATACAAAGGAACCAGATAGAAATTTTGGAGTTAGAAAGTACAATAATTAAAACCATCAAGCATGCCAACAAATGCATAATAGGAATCCCAGAAGGAGAGGAGGAAAAGAAGGGGGCAGATATAGTATTTTAAGAGCCAAAACCTCCAAATTTTATTAAAACAATGTGTACATCCCAAAGACTCAACAAATTCCAAGTAGGAAAAAAAATCAAAGTGATTCACACCTAGAAATGTCATAATCACACTGTTGAAAGACAGAATCTTAAGAGCAGCAACAGAGAAGAAACTCATCATGTACAAGAGATACTCAACTGATTTCTCACTGTAACCTAGGAGACCAGAAGGCAAGAAAATGACATCTGAAGTGCTAAAGAAAAAGACTGTGAAACAAGAATTCTGTATACAGCAACACCATCCTGCAAAACTGAAGCCAATATTAAGACATTCCAAGATAAACAAGCACAGAGAATTCATTACAACCAGACTTGCCTTACAAGAAATATAAAAGAAGCCCTTCAGGCTGTAATGCAAGGACACTAGGCAGAAAATCCAATCCACAGGCAAAAAGAACATCAGTAAGGATAATTATATAAGTAAAGATAAAAGGCAAAATCAGCATACCTTTTGTTTCTAACTCTTCATTTCTCCTGACTGTGGTAAGTACAAAACTGATCCACCCTAAAGATTTCCAAGCACCAATTCCTAGAATTTCTGCATATAATCACTTTACATGACAAAGGGGACTTTTAAAATATGATAAATTAAGAAACTTTAAATGGGAAGATTATTTGGTTGGACTCCACATAAGCACAGTGGTCCTTAAAAATGACAGGAAAAGCCCTGGCTGGCTTGGCTCAGTGGATAGAGCGTCAGCCTGAGGACTGAAGGGTCCCAGGTTCGGTTCTAGCCAAGCGCACATGCCTGGGTTGCGGGCTTGATCCCCAGTAGGGGGTGTGCAGGAGGCAGCCGATCAATGATTCTCTCTCATCATTGATGTTTCTATCTCTCTCTCCCTTTCCCTTCCTCTCTGAAATCAATAAAGAAATAAATTTAAAAAAAATGACAGGAAAAGCAGCAAAGTGAGTGTCAGTGATGCTGCATAAGAAAGGCGTGACTAGTCATTGTTAGCTTTGCACATGGAATGGGGGTGGTGGGGTGGTGGTGATAATTCCATGGAGTGGATGGATGCAGGAAGCTTCTAGAAAGTGGAAAAGGCAAGAAAATGGATTCTCCTCTAGAACCTTCAGAAGGAACACAGCAATGCTGACACTTTGATTTTAGCCCAGAGAAACTAATTACAGATTTTTACTTCCAAAACTGTAAGATAATAAACTGAAGTTGTTTAAAGCCACCAAATTTGTGGGATTCTGTTATAGCAGTATGTAGGGAGTATTTAAGACCACCCCAGTTTCCTACCATCAACAAATCAATAAATGATAAGTGCTGGAGAGGATGTGGAGGAAAGGGAACCCTAGTGCACTGCCGGTAGGAATGCAGACTGGTACAGCCACTATGGAAAACAGTATGGAGTTTCCTCAAAAAATTAAATGTGGAACAGCCATTTGACCCAGTGATCCCACTTCTAGGAATGTACCCTAAGAAACCCGAAACACCAATCAGAAAGAATGTATGCACCCCTGTGTTTACAGCAGCACAATTAACAATAGCTAAAATCTGGAAACAGTCCAAGTGTCCATCAGTAGAAGAGTGAATAAAGAAGCTGTGGTACATTTACACCATGAACTACTATGCAGCAGTAAAAAAGAAGAATCTCGGGAGAAACCAAGATGGCGGCATAGGTTAACGCAGGAGTTTGCTGCCTCTAACAACCACTTTAAAAATACAACTAAAAGACGGAACGGACATCATCCAGAACCACAGGAAGGCTGGCTGAGTGGAAGTTCTACAACTAGGAGGAACCGAGAATCAGAGGAGGCGCAGTGCTGAAGTAAAATACTAAGGTGCGGAGTGCGCGCAGCGCGGGCTGGTGGCTGAGGGCGCGGTTGTCTGTTTCAATCCGGAGGGAGCCTCAGACTCAGAGCTCCAGATCCGGGCGAGTCTCTAGGGACCCAGACTCAAACGGGAGAAGCAGGACTGTCTGGCTACGGTCCCTCCGAGGTTTGCAGCTGTTGCTGGGACAGAGAGGCAGAGCCCCTGGGGATGGAGTGAGAGCAGCCATAACTGCTCCCTCCTCCGCCCTGTTGATCCCGTGGGACCCGCCCCGCCCAAGCCCTGCACAGAGCCATTTGCTGGATAGCCTCAGGCAAAGGCTAGATTAGCACAGCCAGTCGGCCTGGAGGTCAAATCCCTCTACTATTAACTATAACAATCAAGGCTTAACTACAACAAGACTGCGCACAAAGACCACTAGGGGGTGTACCAAGAAAGCGTAAAAAATGCGGAGACAAAGAAACAGGACAAAACTATCAAGGGAGGATATTGAGTTCAGAACCACACTTTTGAGGTCTCTCAAGAGGCTTCTAGAGTCTGTCGATAAACTTGATGAGTTGTACAGGAAATCTAATGAGACCCTCGATGGTGTGATAAAGGACCATCTAGAAAGTAAGCATACACTGACTGAAATAAAGAATATTATACAGACTCCCAACAGCAAACCAGAGGAGCGCAAGAATCAAGTCAAAGATTTGAAATGCGAAGAAGCGAGAAACACCCAACCGGAAAAGCAAAATGAAAAAAGAACCCAAAAGTACGAAGATAGTGTAAGGAGCCTCTGGGACAGTTTCAAACGTACCAACATCAGAATTATAGGGGTACCAGAAGATGAGAGAGAGCAAGATATTGAAAACCTATTTGAAGAAATAATGACAGAAAACTTCCCCCACCTGGTGAAAGAAATAGACTTACAGGTCCAGGAAGCGCAGAGAACTCCAAACAAAAGGAATCCAAAGAGGACCACACCAAGACACATCATAATTAAAATGCCAAGAGCAAAAGACAAAGAGAGAATCTTAAAAGCAGCAAGAGAAAGAAACTCAGTTACCTACAAGGGAATACCCATATGACTGTCAGCTGATTTCTCAACAGAAACCATGCAGGCCAGAAGGGAGTGGCAAGAAATATTCAAAGTGATGAATACCAAGAACCTACAACCAAGAGTACTTTATCCAGCAAAGCTATCATTCAGAATTGAAGGTCAGATAAAGAGCTTCACAGATAAGGAAAAGCTAAAGGAGTTCATCACCACCAAACCAGTATTATATGAAATGCTGAAAGGTATCCTTTAAGAAGAGGAAGAAGAAGAAAAAGGTAAAGATACAAATTATGAACAACAAATATGCATCTATCAACAAATGAATCTAAGAATCAAGTGAATAAATAACCTGATGTACAGAATGAACTGGTGATTATAATAGAATCAGGGACATAGAAAGGGAATGGACTGACTATTCTTGGGGGGAAAAGGGGTGTGGGAGATGCGGGAAGAGACTGGACAAAAATCATGCACCTATGGATGAACACAGTGGGTGGGGAGTGAGGGCGGAGGGTGGGGTGGGAGCTGGAAGGAGGGGAGTTATGGGGGTAAAAAAGAGGAACAAATGTAATAATCTGAACAATAAAGATTTAATAAATAAAAAAAATAAAAAAATAATAAAAAAAAATAAACACACACAAAAAAACAAAAAAAATAAAGTTGCTTTAAAAAAA